GTTATTTTCTGTTTAATAATAGTCATCCTAATGAGTGTGAGTTGATATCTCATGGTGATGTTCAGCATCTTTTCATATGCTTGTTGGCCATTCATATATCTTCTTTGGAGAATTGTCTGTTTAGTTGCCCATTGTTTAATCGGGTTGTTTGTTGTTCTTTTTTGTTGAGTTGTAGAAGTTCCTTATATATTCCAGATGTTAACCCCTTATCAGATATGATTTGCAAATATTTTCTCCCACTCCATAAGTTGCCTTTTCACTCTGTTGATTTTTTCCTTTGACACATAGAAGTTTTTAAGTTTGATGTTACTAAGTTTTAAGTCCTCTAACATTCTTTTATGTTACTAGTGTCCAGTGTTTACACAACTAAGGAATCCTTGGCTTATCATTCTCCCATTCCCCTCACATTTTGAAAGAATTTTGTCTTCCAAATATTCATCGAATAAGAATTTATTTTCAAAGAGTCTAAATGATATTGCACAGTTTCTCGTATTAAAGCTGTGACAAGCTAATGAAAATGTCAAATTCCTTTGTTTTTGGCTATACTTTTAGTATTCAGTGTGCTAGTTACTCTATGGGCCAAAGTAGAAGGAAAGGGAAAGGAAAGGTGGACAATCCTACCACTTAAATTCAATTATCCCTCATTTTTTTTTTCCAGTGAGTAGTGAATTCAATTGATAATTCATCTTTCTTTTCTGATGAATGTTTAAGCTACATAAAATAGGTTTTCCTTTACCGTATATGTCTGTGGACCTTTTTTGAAACAGAATATTTTTTTGTTTTTATTTTTTTAATTTAGAAAATTAAAAATAAATTTAATCCACATTTGAACATGATGTGATAGAATAAACTTCCAGAGGTCATTAGTCACCTATGATTATTTATTAAATACCCAGTGTTTGTCACATATTGAGCTGTGCAATACAAATAAAGTAGAACGTTTTAATTGGTACAGTTTTATTCCCAAGGGCCTTGGTCTTATTCTCCAGGCTGGAATATACCTAAACCACCAGTGTCAAAAAATTAAATAAGAACACTGCTTATTTATATGTTTGCAATGGAATGTGAAGGAAACCAGCTGCAGACATTTCTTGCCAAANCTCTATTTTAAATGTAGGCTTGTTCTCATTTTTCTCTGCTTCGAGACCCACAGGAGTGCATTTGCTCTTCTATACACTGAACATAATTATAATCAACATTTAATAGTTTTAATGCTATTTCCTCCTTTTTGTAATGACTTGGAATCCTTCTACTGCCTTTGTATCATTTTATTCAGATTACCAAATTTCTGTTGAAATTTATCATTGATGATATATTTCTTCATTAGTATGTATCCAAGGTAATCCAAAGACTACATAAAACATCTCTCAACAGAATTGTGAATTGGCTGGATCTGTTTTGAAGATTTAGAGACTGGTACTTTACACTGTGTCTAGAGCGAAGTCTCAGAGGCATCAATGATCAGTGATCCATCCAATAGAGGGCTCAGTTAACAGGTGCCTTTGTCTCCCTCTGCTTCTCTTCCATCCCCTCCTTGTTGCCAGCCGCAGTCATCCTTAATTTAGGAACTATAATGCTAGAAGGTTGAGAACCGTGAAATACCCAAACTGTAAACAGAACAGGAGTTCTCTGTCTCAGGATTTCAGGATGGAGAATAATATGGAAAGTCCAGGTGATGTCCACCACAAGGCTGCTTGTTGCCTACATCACTCAAGTTTGCAAATTCAAGGGAGAGATGTTTATACCATGTGGTTTTTCATAATTTGATTATTTTTATTTTACTTTTTCTTTTACCAGGTTTCACCAAAACTCATGCCAATGCAGCAGATCGCAAATTGAGATGTGGAATAGACATTTATCCCAGGCTGTATGTTTTCCATTTTAAACATCCAGAATTTAATTGAAAGGACGTCAGTAATCATAACTGCATTTTTAACAAGCCTTTTTTGACTAGTTTTCCTCTAATATTCCAGGTATTATTTAGCTACAGACTTTGTTCTTTCAAGCGTGCTATGACTTTTTAATGAAAAACAAAAGAAAACATTTATACATTTATGATTATCTTGTATTATAAGTGCTGAGAATGTTATCTTTACAACTGGAGCTCACCTTGGACATATCTTTGCCTTCTATGATACNGATGATAGAACCATGTGCAGATGTTCATGCAATACGATGCTTCTGATGCTATTCAGTAATGCTTTTCTAACTTTTTTTAAAAATTGTGGTAAAAACCACATAACAGAATTTACCATTTTTTTTTTTAATTTTTAATTTTTTATTTTTTCCTTTTTGTCTTTTTTCGTGACTGGCAACGGATCACAACCCTCAGTGTCGCGCCCGTACCGGACCGGGACCGGCAACGGGATCGCAACCCTTGGCGTTGCACCCGCACCTTGCTCAGCCAGTGAGCGGCCGGTCTGTATGTGGGATTCGAACCCTCAGCGGGAGCGCCGCTGTGCTTCCCAAGCGGCGCACTGTAGCAGTGCACCACCGGGCCGGCCCAGAATTTACCATTTTAACCATGTTTAAGTAGTATTAACTATTCACATTGTTGTATAGCAGATCTTTAGGACTTTTCCATCTTGTGACACTGAAGCTTTATGCTCACTAAACTCTAATTTCCTCTCTCCCTTCCCCCAGCCCTTGGTAACCACTTTTCTACTTTGTTTCTATGATTTTGACTACTTTAGATATTTCATATGAGTGGCATAATACAGTATTTGCCCTTTTGTGACTGGCTTATTTCACATAGCATACTGTCCTTGAGGATCATCCATGTTGTAGCATGAAACAAGATTATCTTTTTTTTTTAAGCCTGCATAGTATTACAATGTATATATACCACACTTTCTTTATTTATTCATCTTTTGGTAGACATTTGGGTTGCTTATACTTCTTGGCTATTGTGGACAATGCTGCTATGTACACAGGTGTGCAA